AATCACCTACCATATATGAAGATTATATGACATGAAGCAAATAAGAAGAGTGCAAAATGGATGACCTCTTCTAAGGAATCTGACCAATAACAACTAATAGGAATTTTCTCATTAGATAAACGCGATTCAATAATACATATGAGTGAATTATGGTCAAAACTTATATGCCAAATAAGAGAAGCAATATAAAATTAATTTACACTTCTTTTTATTGGCACAAGCTTAAAAATTTGAATTATAGATACATAAGTAGCTCACTTAAACCTAAAATCAAATTATTGATTTTTGAGATTTAAGTAACTTATCTTCACCTTTCACCTTCACATTAAAATAGGAAAAATGGAATGGTGTTCTGTTTTTATTTTTGGCCTCACTTAAACCTAAAATCAATTATTGATTTTTGAGATCTTTCTTCATTTTTTATGTGATTAATAAGACAAGTTTTGTAATATCATGGCTTTCATTTTAAACGTTGTAAAGCATGCATCCTATTATAATTTCCAATATATTCATCAATTTCTTCTTAGTATTTTATAACTTGATTAAAATATGAAACTATTTGGCAATAATATGACTTCACTTTCTTGATAAATCTCTCTATTAAAAATTATTAATAATGTAAGTGTTAGATTGCCTTGATGGATACAACTTTCCTCTTTCATGGCCCCTGACAATTTATTTATTTATTTTAACCGTCATGCATTTGACTCTCACTAGATTAGATCTTAACCTCAAATTTAGTAAACCTATACGCCACTTCTGACACTTTCAAGCATATTTTATCCCCCCCCCCCCCTCCTCTTCCCTCCTCTTCTCTCCTTTCATTGTTTCATATATATGATCCAAGGTCAAAACCCTATATATTAGACCAAATAAAAAAAAATCATTCTCTCCTTTCATTGTTTCATATATATGATCCAAGGTCAAAACCCTATATATTAGACCAAATAAAAAAAAATCATCATTGGTGGTTGTCAGTATGGAATCTTGAAGAAAAAAACGCTTCTTTGACTCCAGCCATGTATGAATGAGGTGTATCAGATTTGGACAGTAAACAAAAATATAGTTAGTGGAAGCTACGTAACCAAAATGTACAAAAATGTACAAAAATTGAGTTGGACTATAACTTAACTAGTTTTACAAGCTGATCAACTCATATTTGTAAAGAGTTCTGGATGAAATACAATATCTCACGTAAGAAGATTGATTCTTTACAAATGATAGGTTAAGTGCTACTCAGTAGATTGCATTGAGATTTTTTGAGATAAAAACCATGCATGCAAGTCCAAAAAGCTTAGCACGACCTTGCATTGGATTTATATATGTACACGATATCGTCGAGGATAATATCATTAAAATACGCAAGTAGCTAATATAAAATGTAGACCCTAACAAGAATAGAAACTAGTTTTACGTGACCTAACAATACCTAAGAAATTTGCAGTTTATAAAAGTCTTAAGAATCTCCATGTGCATGTTCTTTATTTAATTACAAGCGTACATACCCTTGTACCCTACGTCGTTTGTCCTTTCTCTTAGTCAATGTGTGATGATTCTTGGTCGTACTTAGTGGGCATTTGTACATGTAAGTGGAGTAACACCTAACAGATTTCTCGAGGTATTTCACGTGGCCTAAAGAAAGAGGAGGATTTTGAAGGGATCTGGCTAAATCCAATTCAGGACTGCTTTAGTCCCATAAGGTGTACAAATAAATATTGTAGTTTAAATTCTGTTTGGCGTTGACTTATCTACAATACGTGATCTATATATGCTAGAGTTCTCTCGTTCATTCATAATAGGATTTGTTTACCATAGTACTTTTATACAAAAAAAGACTAATTGGTGGTTTCAACACGGCAATAATTACATATAAATAAAACCTTTAATAAGAATTAAGGAAATGCTTTCTAACCATTAAATTAGATAAGAAATGGTCCAATGATGCTAAGAATTAGGTATTCTCATTTCTTTGTCCATTAATATTTGATATTAAGAAAAGAAAATTATTATGGTACTCCAAAATTCTTATTTTGCACTCCAATTTTTTATATTTAGAGAAAAAAATACATTTGTAAAGAGTGCAAAATGAGATTTTTAGAATGCCAATAACAATTCTTTAAAAAAAATATGTGTTTTATATGTAAGAACTAGAAGTTCTGAATCCAGATACTGTAATGAGACCTGAAGTTCTTAATAAAAAGATTTGTAGTACAAAAAAAAAAAATTGTGGGATTGTAATGTGGAAGCCAACTGTTAAGGACATTGCATTCTTTCATGTCCATAAATTGTGCTCTAGCAAGCTAGTAGCAGCTCATAACAATGGCAACAGAACTCAAGAAAATGTAGAGAGAGAGTTTAGAGAGAGAAGCAAATGAATAAGCTTGCATGTATTTCTAGAGAGAGAATGTTCATTACAATAGAAAGTGAGCCAACTCACTATTTATACAAAGAAGGAATCTTAACAACTAAGTAACCTCCTAACTAACTCACATCCAATGGTCAATATTTCTCTAACCAATCTTTGATCTAATGATACATCAACAGAACACATGGCTTACATCAAATCATGCCATTTGGCATTTACATGGTTAATACCCCCTCTCAATCTCAACTTGGGTAACCAAGTTTGAGATTGCAGTAATGATGAAGAAATAGCGAACCATGTAATCCCTTTGTCAAAATTTCAGCTACTTGGTCTTTAGTTGAAATGTATTCAACCTGCAAGTCTCTCTTTTGCACTCGTTCCCTAACAAACTGAAAATTAGTTTCCAAGTGTTTGATCCGAGTATGAAAGACAAGATTCGAACAAAGTGCCAATGTGGAAATATTGTCACAATGTAACAGAGGAGGAGTAGGTAAAAACACTTGCAAATCTTTTAAAATCAGTCTAATCCAAGCTAGGTCTACTGTTGCATTAACTAAGGCTTTGTACTCAGCCTCTGTTGAACTTCTGGACACCCCAGCTTGCTTCTTAGATTGCCATGAAATTGAATTGAGGCCTAAGAACACAACATAACCAGTGGTAGATCTCCTAGTATTACTATCAGATGCCCAATCTGCATCACTGAAAACAGTTAAGTCGACTTGTGAATATGCAAAGTAAGTGAGACCACAAGCTACAGTGCCTTGAAGATAACTTAAGATCTGTTTAACAAGAGAAAAGTGAACATCTGTAGATTTAGCCATAAATTGACAAGTACAATTCACAGAATAAGCAATGTCTTGATGAGTGAATGTGAGATATTGAAGGGCTCATACTAAACTTCGAAAATTGGTTGGATCTGTCCATGGTGTGCCTTCATCTTTGAGTAGTTGTGTGTGAGGCTTACAGAGAGTAGAATAAGGTTTACATGATTCTAGACTAGCCTTTTTGAACAAATTCTTGATATACTTGGACTGAGATATAAACAGGTCTTCATTTTCCGGATATGTAATTTGCAAGCCCAAAAAGAAAGTGAGCATACCCATGTCTTTCATATCAAAAACCTCTCCTAAAGAATCAATAATCTGTTGCACCAGTGAGGAATTAGATCAGTAATAATGATATCATCTACATAGAGTAGAAGTATCACTACATCAGCACCTTATGTTTTAACAAAAAGATTGGTATCTAACTCTGAAACAACAAAGCCCAATGTTGGTAGATATGTTGTAAACTTAGAATTCCAGGCTCTAGGTGCTTGTTTTAAACCATATAAAGACTTCATAAACACCTCTTCTTGTAAATCCCCATGAAGAAAGCATTATTCACATCTAGTTGTCTAAGAATCCATTTTTGAGACGCATTAAGAGCTAAAACAAGTCAAATTGTACTATGCCTTACCATAGTACTGAATGTTTCTTCATAATCTAACCTATGTTCTTGACTGAACCCTTGAGCAACTAGCCTTGCTTTGTACCTGGAAATCACACCATGTTGATCTCTTTTGTCTTTGTATACCCACTTGCTACCAATTATATTTTTGTCCAAAGGTGGAGGAACTAAAACCCATGTACCTTGTTTCTGTAAAGTTGTGAATTCATCCACCATTGTTGCTCTCCAATTTTCACATTTAACTATAGCTTTATATGAGGAAGGTTCATCTCTTTCAACAATACTAAGTAATGCAGTATATCCACAGAATGCAAAATCACCAGAGAATGAAGATGAAGGAGAACATGCAGAATATGCATTATAATCCGTTCTCTGAATTGCACCAGACTTTAGTCTAGTTTGCATAAAATGTTCATTTAAAGATACTAGTTTGTGATGAAGAACTTGCTAAACTTGAATCATAATGGGTTAGAAGGAATATTTACCTCGATTTGAGCTGAGTTATGGACAGGCAACAAAGAGTTGATAGTTGGTGCAGAGAGTAAAGTAGTGTGGGGTGGAGAATCTTGTAATTGAGAGGTTGCTTGAACACCTGTGGATCCCTGTGAATTCTGAGAAGATTCTTGTATATCTAAACTCACTTGAACTTAAACAGAAGTCTCACTACTGGAATTTTGTGAATAAGTAGAATCTAGCTGTGAATTCTTAGCATGAACTGGTAAAACATAAGGAACTATCACAACATGATGTCTATGCAATTGTCCAGCAACATTTGGTGCACATGTTTGAGTACTACTTTGATAAAAAAGGAAATGTCTGCTCATCATGAATCACATATCTAGAGATAAACAACCTTCTTAGCTCTATGATAACAAAACACACCCTTATAGCCTAGAGCATATCCCACAAATACACATTGTTCTGTCCTGACACCTAATTTGGATGTTTTATAAGGTCTAAGGTAAGGGTACACTGCTGTTCCAAACACTTTTAGAGATTGTAACACATGGTGAACTTTGAATAATTGGAAAAATGGAGACTGCATACTTAAAGATTTACAAGGCATTCTATTGATTAGAAAAACTGCATGTGCACAGGCATGGAACCAAAATTGTGTGGGAGATTAGCTATGGTAAGCAAGGTAACTATAGTTTCTAATATATGCTTGTGTTTCCTTTCAGCAGTGTCATTCTGTTAGGGAGTATATGGGCATGAAATCAAGTGCACCGTGTGAGCTTAGAAACCTTTTAAAAGCCAAACTCATATATGCACCACCACTATCAAATTGGAAAAATTTAACAACAGCTTGGGGGTCATAGTGATAAGCTAAGAGGGCGTATTTGATCCATAGGTAGTAATAAGGAGAGACTTCAATATCATCCTCGAGTAACAGACCAAAATCATCGTCAGATGAAGGGTACCAACTCTCGCTGACAGCTCGAATAAGCCCTCCTTGGATGATTCGTCTTTTGAGGGTTTTCGGGCCATGAGCCCAGTCAAAGGAGCTTACTAGTCTAATAGTTGCCTCATCCACTTTACTGTCCATGTTAAAGCTGATAGGTACCTCATCACCAAGATAGTAGGCATCACTGAGAGATTTGAGCAGCCTTGTAAGTGAGTGAACTCTGTTTTGGGTGATGATGTTGATGGATATCCGCATTCGGTTCCAATCTGCATTCGAGAAATTCGTAGGTTAGATACATGCTAAAAGAAAGTATGAAATGGTACGGAAAGTTAGTGATACATTTTGAAGCAAATTTGTTATCTTAATTGGAGTTAAAAGCTATCAATTTATCTTACTTGGCAGTGCTGTTGTTCTAAGATCAGCCATCCAAAGAACCTTAGAAATCGAAGGCCTCGGTAAAAGAACCAATGTTGTAGCATTCGTATTTGTTTCTGTCGCCATTTTCAATGCTTTCTTCACATTAGGATCAATGTCAGCCACTGTGATCACTACACTTGGGTTGTGAATCTTGATCAATCCTTTCATGCTAGCATACACTCCTTGCAGCACTACCACCTCCGAGTTTGACACTCCCGAGAGAGCTCCCACAGCCAAATCGAATATCTTAAACCTTCTCTCTCTACAGACCAATATAGGCCACTTGAGAGCAGTTGCTGCATCTTCACAAGTGCAGTAACTTCCGCCCGAGACAGCGATGTAAGCTTTCTTGCCAACGGTAGACCTGAATTTCTCAAGAAGGGGTGCAAGTGCCTTAACTTCATCAACCGAATGAGCATAAAAGAGAGCATCAACCTTTTGAGGATACATTGCAGCCCACTGAGTGATATAACCAGTAGATAGTGCTTTCCACCATTGATCATCTCGGACTTGAACGATATCTTTGAAAATTACAGTGGTTTCGGACACATAAGCAAGCCTATGTTCACTGTCGCCCCAAGTTTCCTTATCATTTGAGTCAACTGGAAGAACAAATGATCCTGCATTTCTGTACTTTTGAAGCTGATAGCTGCATTTTCACCAAAATAAAAAGTAACCATCAGAAACTATTCCAAATGGCTAAATATAATCCAATTTGAGAATTGTATATCCAGTTGATAACAGATTACTCAGAAAAAATGCTGAAAACAGTAAAATTTTAACACTTGGGTTTGATCGAAATTCAATTTTGTCGAAGGATGAAATCTAACTACCTCTTTTCGTCATTCTTGTATTACAAAATTCTGACTTCTAGCCACAAATAAATGCTTTAGTGTGTGAACTATTCTACAGGGCTGCCCTCCATATACGACCAGTCACCTTAATGCCCTACGTAGTTACTAACCCATTACTCTAGACTTGGCGCCACAAAAACTCCTTAATTATATTCAGAGTTTAACTTGTAACCAATGTTCCAATGTTTTTGCAGGAAAAATTTGAAATTTTAGTTGTTAGTTTGGTCAGCCTAATTCAAAAGAATCGACTGCTGTAGTTGGCAATGTCCTCCCAAGCCAAATGCAATGAAATAATAATCCCACAATGCAAAGGGGAATCTGGAAAATTTCGACATGCGCAAGTGGGAGTAAGTAAAGTACAAGACACAAGCAAGCGGATGCAGAACATCAATTAGTGGAACAAGGAAACAAAAATACCAAATATTAAAATAAAATAATTAATATGCACATCCACAACAGACAAGTTGACCACATTATTAGAGCAATAGTGTTTATATTCCTTCACACAAATTAATCCCCATTAGAAAGAAAATCTGATTTAAGTGCGGAATTAAAACTTGAAATGGCCAAATACACTTTGTGTTCACAGTTTATTCCAAATCAATTTTCTAAAGTATGCCTGAATTAATTTGATTTTTTAAACATATGATGACTAATAGGATTTGAGTTTAAAATTTCCAGCTAAGCCAATCAAATTTCTGATTTAAATACTTAGAAGTGCTGGCTACTTGGCTGAAATTAACAACATTTCGTGCAAATTTAACAGTAATTTTCTGTAGTAATTAAGAATATAAACCTGCATCAAGGTAAAAACTTCTCTACTAAGATGAAAATAACCAAGCGGGTTAGTTCAGTTGGGTAGAGCAGTGTGCTCGCCCTGTATATTGGAGCAGTTAATATTATGGCTTTGTAAAAAACAGATGAAAAGCAGTCAAAAATGTACCTGAGGTGTAGATCTTCGCCAGTCGAAAAGGTGAAGGGTTTCTCGATGAAAAGTGTCTTGATATGCTCTGCAGACAAGAACCAAGAACTGGAAAGGAAGTCCACCTGCACAATTTTATCCAGTGTGATATCATAAGCAGGGTCAGGCAAATAAAGCCCTGCCTCCTTAGACCTGAACTTTCTGTAGCTTGGAAAGGTAAAATCCTTCTGCCTGAATGGCAGAATTCTCCCTATGCTTCCCAAAACCGCATTCTTGTACTTCTCCGTTCCCGCTACATGTGACAAAATCTGCAGCATTTTCTTCCCAGGAATCATGTCATCATCAAGAATGTACACAAGATCGGCTTCGGTTTGCAGAGCCATTTGGAACCTTCCATAGTACTTGAAGTCATAGCTTGAACTTATGAAGCTTATCCTTGAATCGTTGTAGCTTTCGACAATTCTCTTCAACGAAAGCTCATTTGGGCTCCCAAATGAAAGCACCCAAACGTGGTGGAAGGGAAGGGTTTGTTGAAGCAAGGTGTCCAGCTGAGCACAAAGTGTTTTTCTCTTGAAGTGGTTTAAGATCACTGTGACTTTTGGTCTGTTGGGGGCCCTTCAAATCCCACTTCGATTTCATTGCCATCAACTGAGCAAGAGTTTCCGTGCCGATGGATTTGCTCTGAAAGTCCAAAACCTCATGGTAAAGCTCTGTCTTAAGCTTGATCATCTGGGCATCGTTGGACTTCTTCTGCATGAAATCAATCTTCTCATGCTCGCAAACTAGCGAGGGCATGATTGGAAGGCTTTCGGTTTGAACAAGAGAAGCGGATTCTTGATAGTGGTTGAGAATGTGGGGTTGGATTATATAGTGTTTCCATTGTTGTGCAATCTTGGTAGCCCATGCAAAGTCTGGTTTGGTTCGTAAATCGATCGAAGGGCTCATGTAGTAAAGAAGGAATGTTGCATAAACTGCAAAGGCAAATTGGAGACAAGTGAGAGCAGTTACAAGCCTAGAAGAAGTACTCTTATGAGCCTTCAACTTGGCCTTCCCTCCCACATAATCATTTAGCATTCCTTCCAAGCAGTCCGCACTTCTTGTGTTCGAATTTCGAGGCATTTCCATCATTTGAGTTCAAGTCCAAATCAATCTCACACCTGCAAAAAAAAAAAAAAAAAAAAAAAATATCATCAACAAACACATTCATAAATCGTTCATCGGCCTTGGATCTTGAGCTAAAAAAAACTTGTGAAGCAATTTAAGTTTGAAACTCACCAAAAACAAGAACCCAAATGAGCAAAAACAACAAATCTGAACTTGTTAAGAGTGCTAGCTATGAAACAAGTAGAGGTTGAGATTATTAACGAAATTTCATCAAACACTTGGACTTCACCACCACCAACCACCTTAAGGAGCTAGAAAAGGTTTTGAGGAGAGGCCAAAGGGGCTTTCAAGTAAGCTGGTCCTAATTGTGTTGACAAGCTTTGAGGGGTCATGTGTTTATATATATATATATATCTTATCCATATGTATGTATATGTATAGAAGGAAAAGTACAAGAAAAGTGAAGGGAAGCACCCCATGGAAAATGCAGCAAGGGTCACATGGGGCAAAACGCATATAATTAAAACGGACGGTTAGGATTAAGTTATAAGAAGAGTGTTTTCTAGACGCGTTCCCTTTTCACTACTACTCTTACATTTCCACCCTTAAGGGCACCGTTGAAAGCCGGCTCTGCTGCCGCAGATAAGGGCTCCTCCTGCGTTTTCGGCACTGCTATGTGACAAAAAATTCTCACTCTCTCCTTCTCTCTCTGTCTGTCTCGTATGTACTGCCCATTGAGACCCCACAAGACAATCGAAGCCCTCAAATTCTGAACCTTAGAAGTCTATAATCATTGTTTTAACGGACTTTATAGAAACCCAATTGGCCAAATCCCCAAAAATTCACATAGCAGAGAACATCTAAACTAATGAGATTAATTTGTCAAAATCTCAATTCCCAAGAAAAATTGGTATCTGATTTTGTCTTAAGACGGTCAAACATGGAGTTCATGAACCAGGAAAGAAAAAGGAGTAGTAGTGCATACGCCAAGTTATAAGATACAAATTGATGTGGCAATATTTTATTTGTTTTCGGTCTTAGTCGGTTATAAAAATTATGTATTCACAAAAAGTAAAAATTGGAAATTTGCACGTCATTTAGTAACAAATGTTGGTAATAAATGAAAAAGAACTTGTATCATGTAGATTTACGACTCATACTTCCTAGTTTGATTATGAAAAATAAAAATAAAAAGTACTACTAGATACATTAACTTATAGGATACAAACTAATGTGTTAGTGTTTTATTTTTATTTGATATTTGTCCAAAGGAAAATGAAGACACGTAGAGATAAGACTCATGCAAGCTACCTTGATGATGAAGGAAATGAGTAGAGATAAGAGAGAAGTTCCTTTTTCAGCTTTTCTCCTTCAGCAAAACAGGCGAAAGCTAAACCTGAAATTCAAACCCCCACCATACACAGCGTGAACGAGAGCTGCCGCGTAGGTTTACAGAGAATGATGCATGTGCATGAGAGGCATAAAGATTGAGTACTATAGAGATAATTAGTTCATAAATAACTAAACAAATCTTTATGTACATTTGAAATATATATAGTTTGACCATATGAAGATACCTAATTGTACATTGCAGCAAGCTGTAATTTGTTAATGGTTTTTTGCCGAACTTTGACAAGTTGAATGCAAGAAACCTTTATTCCTGCGAATTTTGCTTGCAGTGGGGATAATCCAAATGGGTTTGTACCCTTTATTCAAGGAAAATTAGAAATTAGAAGGCAAAGTATGAATTGAGAGAGAGAAATTTCCTGTATTGCATAAACTGGTCAAGTCGTATTTTTGTTGGTGAATTGCCATTAGAGTTGCAGAAGCTGAATAATTAAGAAGAAGATGGGATTTTAGGTTTCATAACATTTGCAACGAGGAAAGCTATGCTTACACGTTTGCTCATTCACATCTTGACAAAGTTGGTCACTGGTCATCCAATGTGCTACAAAATAGATTTACTGCTTGGAAATGATAAAAGAGCATTCGGTTAAGAAGAAGGGTTGAGAAAATGAAACTAGTTATATTGAGAAAATACCTAATCAATACATGGAAGTCCTTCAGACAAAATTTACTTTTGCATACGGAAGTCTTTTAAAATAATAGTAAAGAAAAAAAGTGTTTTTTGCTCACTCCGTCTGAAGTCTTTCCCATTGGGGCCCAAAAAAATTAGGCTTGATCCAATTTTATAAAAATCAAACTCCTATGATAAATTGGAAAGACTTTTCATATTAGCATTCCACAAAATGTTGAATGCACCTCATATTAAAATCTAATATTAAATGATTTATTTACCCTACTATACAATGATAATTTTGACCTTATTAGGTTTAAAAAAAAAAAAATTTCTAAATACACTCCAAATCACTTTTAAACGTATTATTTATCTTCTTCAACTATCAAAATCTCTTCGACTCTCCATTATTGAACAAAACCCTAACCAATGAAACTACAAACATGTTGATTGAGAAAAATTATTTTTGACAAATGAAAACACGAAATCGATGTTTCAGAAGCTTCACATGAGATAAGACTTCATATTCTTTATTGTTTTAGTGATTTTGACGACATTGATGATTAGTATTTAAGGGTATTTTAAGGTAAGACTTCATATTCTTCATATTCTTTATTGTTTTCATATTCTTCATATTCTTGAGTTTAGTATTTTAAGGGTAGTGTTATTTACACACTTCTTTTTAACTCACACACTATTGTTAATTTTTGTCCATTAATCTTTTACAACTCATTTTATTCGACAACACGAAATTAAAAAAGTGTGTAAGAAGTAAGAATGAGTGTGTGAATAACACCACCCTATATTAAATTCACGAGTCTCAATCATAAACATTTTCTTTAATCAGAAACATTTCATTAATCAAATAAAATGTAGAACATCATGAAAGGGCATGATTCGACTTTGAAAATTGTACGTATCACATGCATGCATGCATGGTACCTTAAAAAGAACTAAACACACACAGAAATCTTATTATCTTCGATCAGTCTTATTAATTACCATCTGCTCCTCTGAGGAGGACATAATTGTTAATTAAGCATCTCACAGAAGCGCATGCGCCCCTGACATTTTAAAATAAAATTTAACCGACATGCATTTGACTCTCACTAGATTAGATCTTAACCTCAATTTAGTAAACGTATAAACCAGCTTCAGAAACATTTCATTAATCAAATAAAATGTAGAACATCATCAAGAAGAAATACAATTTCACGATTACAAACACAATGGAAAGGTAATACAAAACCTCAACTATAGAATCATATCCAACCAAACTAAATGATAATGCTCATGAGAACAAAACCTTACATTACTTTTTAATGAACCTGTAAAAGACGATGCTTCTTAGGCAAAGAAGTCGTTCTATGAGATATAATGAAGAGGTCCTCACAGTCCATTGCCGGGAAAAAATACGCCAAATCACAATCTAACCAACAAAAAAAGCCCGAACGGTATGAATATCCCCTTAAGCCACCGCAATGACACCAAAGAGGAAAAACTGCACCAACCTTTGATGATGTTTCAGTAATGGGGTAAAAAAACCATGGTATAAGTCACCTCCAAGGCTCTAACAAATGTCGAGTTTCTTCTCATAGAACATTGCCAAGAGCACAAATCATAGAACACCTCGGATTTGAACAACTATCATTGCTCTAAATTCAAGATTGACCAGTTAATTCATAATTGCTACAAAAGGCTCTTCTCAACAGAAGGAGAGAGCGACCATAACCATAAAAGTCGACAGATCGAGCAACCGACCACTACCTGAAATAGGGATGCAAAGAGAAGGACGAGATCAAGAAGACTTACCATTGACAACCTAATTAAACAAATGAGATATTGATCTAACCAATCATAGACTAGGGAAAGAAACAAAAATAGATGGGTGACACAATCGACTAACTAATTGGATTACTTAAAATAATGCAATTAGAGCACATGGTACTCTTGTGAAAAAGGACTAACTAATTGGACACATGGCACTCTTGTGATGCTTTGATGTTTGTGAGCAGGTTAACATGCGGCTATTATGGTGAACCTGTATTGATTGACTAACAGTCTCAACTTTGGTTAAAAAAAAAAAAAAGATAACATAAAGCATCTGTACCAACGAACCAACGAACTAAAAAAAGAGAACATAAAAATTTGAAACACTCGACTCATTCACTTTTAACCAAACCATATTTACCAAAAAAAAAACCTCTGGTGGCAATTATAATATGTTTAGGATTGAAATATTTCTTCTCCACTATCGTGTAATTGGTGGTTGACCTTGTACGATCAACAATGGACTATCGAATTATTCCCCTAAATAAAGATGAAGAAGAATGAATATTTTCAAACTTCAAAGTTAGGGAAATTATGTTATAATAAACCCTGCTTGCTCTGGAGCTTTGTTTTTTTTTTTTTTTTGGGAGGTGGAAGAGAGAGAAGGGTTGGGGGAGGAGGGCCAGCTAGACTATTTGTTCTTTTCCTCTTTGTTCAAACTTATTCCGTGTTTTATTGGCCCAAAAAATAAAAAAAGTTTGCATTGTGTCCCTACTATGTTATCTATTGAAAAATTAAACATCTGCTTATGTAATCATAAAAAAATAAAAAAATAAAAATTAGGGCATGGTAGAGAGCTTCTCCGTATAATTTAATAGGATGAAATTAATCACCTACCATATATGAAGATTATATGACATGAAGCAAATAAGAAGAGTGCAAAATGGATGACCTCTTCTAAGGAATCTGACCAATAACAACTAATAGGAATTTTCTCATTAGATAAACGCGATTCAATAATACATATGAGTGAATTATGGTCAAACTTATATGCCAAATAAGAGAAGCAATATAAAATTAATTTACACTTCTTTTTATTGGCACAAGCTTAAAAATTTGAATTATAGATACATAAGTAGCTCACTTAAACCTAAAATCAAATTATTGATTTTTGAGATTTAAGTAACTTATCTTCACCTTTCACCTTCACATTAAAATAGGAAAATGGAATGGTGTTCTGTTTTTATTTTTTGGCCTCACTTAAACCTAAAATCAATTATTGATTTTGAGATCTTTCTTCATTTTTATGTGATTAATAAGACAAGTTTTGTAATATCATGGCTTTCATTTTAAACGTTGTAAAGCATGCATCCTATTATAATTTCCAATATATTCATCAATTTCTTCTTAGTATTTTATAACTTGATTAAAATATGAACTATTTGGCAATAATATGACTTCACTTTCTTGATAATCTCTCTATTAAAAATTATTAATAATGTAAGT